AGTGCGAATGGGGAAAGTAAACACAGAATATATTCCTAAAGTATTATATTTTTAGAGTTTGATATCACAGTAATTTAAGGGTTATGATGATAGTTCTTATGACAGGGAGAAAGGTGGTACTTGCAAGCCAATCCAAACATTGGTCCTTTGCAATTGTCTCTATGTAAAACTTTGTGACTTCCTGTAATTTGGTAGCCTTAAGGGCTGATGAAATACCCCGAATGACAGAAGTCCTATTTTTGGGCTTGTTTTACTGAAGAATTTATCTTAAGTGAGCATAAAAGTTTAACTGGAACACTTACACAATAACAGAATTTGCCAATCAAATGTGGTACCTTTACTCTCCATTTTCTCTGCTCTTGTTTCCCTGATTCCGTCTCCTCAAGTAAAAATAGAGAGTAGTCACTAATAAATACCTAAGTTAGAGTTAAAAAAAAAAAACTTTTTAAAACAGTTATATGTGTACTGGTTCCAGTCAGGTAGATATTTTAAATGTTCTATAAATGTTTTCAATTCTTCAAAACTTCTGTTTATTCAAGTTTCTCTGATTTGCTTTGTCATCAACTTATTTCCTCTTTCAGCAAAATTTCAGTAAGATTGTAAATAAATTCTTAATCAAAACTCTTTTTCTAAGGACTTGCTGTGGCCTTGATTTCTTAAATCTTTTTCTGCACCCTCTCTCATGCAAGGACAAAGACAGGAGATTATAGAATCCTACACCTTTAGCTCCATATATATCCCCTCTGAAAGCCGTCTTTTATATAAATATGCGCATGCAGACTAAATAGTTTGAATAGACAACCTAAATTGCTTTAACCTGAGAAAAATTATACAATAGCCCATTTTCGCAAGGTTCAGCGTCATAGAATACTAGATCACTTGCAGTAACTTACATTACATACAATCTAAAATTAGTATTCTTTCAGTTCCCCCTCTACTTTTATAGCTGGCTTAGTACATTCAGAGCACAAAAATGAAGGCTGGAAGCCATCTGTGTTGAATTAGGGCAGTTTTAGCTCTTAGCCCCTCTGGCCTTTGTTTTTGGTTATTTTATAATTAAGGAACTCCAGCAATTTATCAGGCATGTGTAAAAAAAAAAAGAGTCAATTCTTCTTCTACATCCTTTGATAGAGTTATATAAAATTATCACATTTTGACGCTTGATTTAAATTTTTTTTTTTAAAAGAAAAAAAATTAACATTTCTAAATTATTTGACTGAGTTACAGTCTGTGGTCCTTTTCTCAATAAATCCACTGGTAGGTTAAGGATGATTTGCCTAGAATCAGGTGTCCTTTTTGGGAGACAGAGGGGGTGAAACCCCCCGTTCAGCTGACAGTTGCCTAAGTAAAACATTTTAATAAAGTCATTAGATATTTAGGTTAATGAAACAAAGAGTCGGAGCTTAAACCATTTAAAAATACTTTTGGTCACAAAAGGTGTATCAAATTTCAATCACGATTTTTGCCAAAGTCATCCGCCATTGCTGCCAGAGCTTGATTAATCTGCTTCAACCAGCAATTCAGTTAAATTCATTTAATTTATATAGCTATTGGTGGTAACAGCTTAAAAAATCCTACACCGAACATAGGTATTTTAAAAACACTACTATATACTAAACAAAGATCCCTGGGTAATGAACTAACCGTATCAATAACTCATTTTAAGTAATTCATAGATCTTGCATCCTATCATATCTTACTAAATATAAAACATATATAAGAGATGGTATAGTAATTTTCTGAAGGACAAAGGACATAATATAAAAGATGCTAGTTCTCAGTAAAGTTCTGTGAAATACGTAGATCTTTAAGACGATAAAACCTTTGTTTGACATGTAATCTGTATAGCTCAGTTTGTGTAATCTTTGATTAACATTTATTTTTCTTGAGTTTAATAACAATGTCTACTTGATCTGTATAGATCATTGATGCTTTGCTTAAATCATACCCAACCAGACTTCAGGAAAACTGAGAAAAAAAATCTGGTTGCCTCAGATATAAGCCTGTTTTAAGGTTAACAAATCCAGATTTTCATTTATTAAAGTTATGTTTTCTTCCCTTTTCTATCTCATTTTGTGTTCATCAGACTTTAACTAAAACATTTCCTTTTGCTGTTTGCTTTCTGAAGCAGGGAAGTTTCAATGAGTTTGTGGGAACTCTTTCCTGCTGCTTTCCCAACCATCTTTTTAATGGCTGCTACATATGTTAACTCTTAGCATGGTATATTTCATTTTTTTTACCTCTGTATTAGGCTGCACAGCAATAGATGTGTTATAGCTCTATAACAGACTCTTCAACTGACAATAGGTCCTTAGTAGGCGGTGACAGATACTTATGATCCTACTAACTGATTTTCCTTAAAATAGATGATTCTAACCCCATGAAACACTTTCTAAAATATATCTATAACATTAATTTGCAAAGAATTATGATTTGTTAAGAGTTTCAAAAAGTTGGACTAAAATTATACTGATTTGGAGCAAAGGTTACAAGCCAAAAAACATGAAAGATTTTGACATAACAGGATATTCTGAAAAATGAAAAAACTTCTTGGCTGTGAGGAAAAGTATGTCTTCAACCAAATAGGAAAACAGCAATTACATTTTCAAGGTTTATTTGTTTTAACAATATATTACCTTCTAAAGCTTACAACAAAAAATCTAAACAAAGCATGGCATATTTAAGCCAATACAAATTTAGTTTTATATTATTTAAAATAACGTTTTATTTACAAAACATGGAGAGACATCAAGTACAGTGGATATAAACAAGAGCAGCACAGAAAGAAGACAGTAAGAGGTATGGTGAAATGACAGTGATAGTATACTGGGAAAAAAATACAATTGTTTCAATTTCAAGTTTTTCTTTTTTAATCTGTGAAGTGTAGGAATACTCCAAAAAAGTCTAATTCAAAAAAGGGAATATCAAATCTATATTGTTTTTAACAATATGCAGCACACCCCAGTGAGAAAATTGTTTTTGTTACAGTCATATAAAAAATGTTGTATTGATTTATATAAAATAGAATAGAACAGAATAGAATAGAATAGAATAGAATAGAATAGAATAGAATAGAATAGAATAGAACAGAATGCTTGCAGACTGCCGTCTGCTGTCATCCATGGCCATTACAGGAGGGGTAAACAACTGCACAGTAACGACTAGTTCTGACTTCATATAGATAAGCCTGCTGTAAAATTCATCCTGATACCAAAGTCCTGTGTTTCTTATGGTTGCAGTGGTCATGCCTGGGAGGTATATAAACTGTCTTTCTAAGGCTTTCCAACAGAGAAAGGACCAAATAGATCGACATGGGTGCAAATTTTATGAACAGTCTGTGAAAATGCAGAGACCTTGACTACGAAGTCAAAGTTGATCTACGTGTGTAGTAGGCATTTATATTGTACTGTATTATTAGGTTGCCCCGCTAAGAATCGGCTTTTGGCTCTTTTCTTATTTGACCAAGAAGCGAAGCCTGAATCCCTTCTGGCAAGCTGCGTGGCCAATGTCCCCCACCAATGTGTGTCTGATGACGACATCACAGTGGGTGAGTGCTGATGATGTCAACAGTGTGATGGAAGTCAGGGAAGTAAAAAATGGAGAGTAACATGGATGGGAGCCAGAGCGTAGTCCGTATTCTGTAGTATTTCACTCTTTTATCTGTCCAAATCCCTCTTACCAGTGTTGAGCCATGTTTATCAAATGTAAAAAGAGTTGTTTGGGCTTGTTAGATCTGAAGCAACTGGTGCGGTGTGCTGCAGTACTGTACGTAGGTTGCATTCAATGGTGTCACGTAATTTGAGCCCAGGTCTTGTGTTCCCACTGCATGCCAATCAGAGCCGAGGCAATTTTAATACAGGTCACTTGCCAAGTCATTTGACCCGGGTAGACAGGCGTCAGTTAGCTGTGCTCACTGCCACTAAAAGTCAATTGTTCCCACGTCTAAACGGGTTTTTCAGCCAGTGTAAAAGGGGTGTAACTAGCCTCTGTCAACTGTAGCCTCTCCTCGCCCTGGTTCTGTGTCTCAGTCAGATTAAAGCTAATTTTTCTATTATATTACTGTTATTAATAAACCAATATGACTCAAGTTGCTTCTAAATTCTACTGAGAGTGCTGTCTAAATGTCTAACTCTGTGGTTGCTAAGCAAATGTTTACCCTTCCTAAAATGGCAATAATCATCATTAGGCTCACTCTCAGATGTGTGACATCACCATAATGCTATCTACAAAATAGAATAGAATGGAAAGTCCTTTTCAGTTCAACATTGGGAATATTCAGGTGTACCAGCAGCAAAGGGAAAGGCGCATAGGGCAGGAGCATACTGTAAGCAAAGATATGAAAGAGATATGAAAGATTGGAAACATTTGAAGAATAATATTCTTAAAAACATTGTGAACCACAATAAGTTATGTTTAAAGAAAATAGTTTTAGCAAGATGGTTAATTAAATAAAAAAATAAGTCTCATGATTATTCTTTCAACATCTGTACAATTCTAGCAATACATTCTCAGAAATCTGAACTGTGATCTGTAAATGACAACAAGGCATCTTTTTCATGTATAAACATGCTTATTGATGTTTCTAGCATGATTTATGCAAAAAGTTGTATAAGATACAAACCAACACATGTGTTAACATTTCATACCTATATTTTTTCTACCATATTTTGTACAATTGGTGTCTATTTAGGACTATTAACTTTATGATATACTGGGTAATATTGAGACACAATATGAACATAAGGGGTGTTTGTGTTTAATCATCATCTCTTCATCAACATTCTTCAATTCCCTGTAAGTAAATCCTGCACACTGGAGTACACTACCTCCTCTTTTTCTTCTTTCTCCTTTTCAGCATAGTTTTCCTTTTCCTCTTCCTCGGTTTTCATCTCCGCTAGTTCACTTTCCTTTTCAGAATCGTTCATTTCTTTTTTGTTTATTTGGATTTCTGAATATTCTGTATTGGTATTTTCTGAGCTTTTTACTCGTTTTCTGGGAAGCTGGGCCATCAGGGAAAAGTCAATGCAGGCATAAACCAGTTCCCGTGGACAACCGGCAGCTTCAGGAGCTGCAGCCAGAGCTACGTCCTGGAGTCCCCTGTGGGACAAGCCACCCTCGGTAGCTCGACTGTTGTGCATCTGTTGGATACAGTGAAACAGACGTCAGTAAATTTGCACACTTTTTCTACGCCAATACAAATCTTTCACATGAAGACCGCCAAGTTGTCAGAACATGGAGTCATGGTTTATTAACTAGAAGAAAACAAAAATGATTCAAAATATGACATGCTGTTGTTAGACATCTGAGTTGAGGTAGGAAGTGACAGAGCAGAGATGGTTAGTAGTTATGAGTTGTGCAAATCTACATCATAAAAAGAACAAGTAAGCTGCTTTATTATTTATGACTGCAAAGCCCAAAAAACTTATCATATCTCAAATAAGTCTCAAAAATATAAAATGGTTTTGTTTTATAGATATGTGGGATATCTCAAACCATTTCACTGCACCCCTTACATGCTGTTATAATATTATGTTAGGTTCTGTTACAATATTGTGGACAGAAAATGGAGGAGCAATCATTGAATTTAGCTGTTCATCATACCAAAGGGGAGACCATTTCTAGAGATTGACCCACATTTCCAGAGTGTTTCCTTTTTTTTCTGAGGAGAAAAAAAAATCACCTTATTTAACAGCTTGAATATATATATATATATATATATATATATATATATATATATATATATATATATATATATATATATATATATATATATATATATAT